GGGGGGGAGGGCGCAGCGCCCCCCCACCGAAACCGCAAGCAGTCTCACCACATCTAACAAGTCGATCTTCTGTCCTATAGCCTGCCGGTAGGGAGGCTTCAGCAGCAAGCAGCAGCCCATCATAAGCCTTCAGTATTCACGTCTAGCGAGCTTGCCTGCTACAGCCAAAATGACAACCGCCACAGCATCCTCGGCAGCGGTCCGCATAACGGTATAGAAAAAAAAGAGCGGGAGGGGGGGCTCGGGGGGGAGGGCGCAGCGCCCCCCCCCCGAAACCGCAAGCAGTTTCACCACATCTAACAAGTCGATCTTCTGTTTCATAGCCTGCCGGTAGGGAGGCTACCCCCCCGAAACCGCAAGCAGTCTCACCACATCTAACAAGTCGATCTTCTGTCCTATAGCCTGCCGGTAGGGAAGCTTCAGCAGCAAGCAGCAGCCCATCATAAGCCTTCAGTATTCACGTCTAGCGAGCCTGCCTGCTACAACCCAAATGACAACCGCCACAGCATCCTCGGCAGCGGTCCGCATAACGGTATAGAAAAAAAAGAGCGGGAGGAGGGCGCAGCGCCTCCCCCCCGAAACCGCAAGCAGTCTCACCACATCTAACAAGTCGATCTTCTGTCTCATAGCCTGCCGGCAGGGAGGCTCCAGCAGCAAGCAGCAGCTCATCATAAGCCTTCAGTATTCACGTCTTGCGGTTTTCCAGCGCGTCTGCTTGCCTGCCATTGACCAATGACAAGCGCCCATGCATGCGCATGACTTGCTTGCGGCATGGCTTCCTGGAAGCCGCGGTCCACGCGCGGGCGGGGGGGGCTCAGCAGCAAGCAGCATCACAACATGATCCTGCAGCGCGCACGTCTTTCAGTTTCAACCAAAATGACAAGCGCCGTCACTGCATCCTCGGCAGCGTGGAGGGCTTGGGGGGGGCAGGGTGCAGCGCCCCCGTCCCGAAACCGCAAGCAGTCTATCTCACAAGTCGATTTTCTTTTGCGGCATGAACACCTTGCAGTTGTCCAGTAAGTGCCTCGCGTAACGTCAATCGCTTGGGCGGTTGGCGGGCTTGCGGGCAGCATGGCGCGTCCACGCGCTGGCAGACGCCGCGCGCAATGTCGCTGTTTGCCAGCGTCCCGCAAAGAATGGTTGATGTAGGCCTTCTTCTATAGACCGGGCAACGTCGGACGTCGGATCTAGCGTCGCGTCTGCCTTGCGCCGGGGCTTCCCCAGCGCAGCGCAGCGACCAAAACATAAAAGCGTGCTGGAATGCGGCGGCAGCGAAGCCGTGACACAAATCGGTAGGGCAACCGCAGGAGCCCCCGCGGCAGATGGCAGGTTGAAGGGAAGGGCCCCCTCCTGGGATATCAATAAGCCCCTTCAACCGTTGAGCTGTCTTGTCGCGGCCCAGGAGGAGGGGGGAGCATGTGCTCCTCCTGGCAAAGGGCCGCAGCCTCAGTGCTTCTCCTGTCACTTT